ATGCATCTACATCATTGGAATTAATTTTAAACTATGTTACTAAAGTCTCAAAGCACTGGTCCAACTAGGTACTCTGTAATTATTAACATGGTCATAATTTAACAGAACCTTTTCGATGCAAAATTAGTCAAAAACTATCGAAAATAAGATAATGAACAGTTAAAGGAACTTCATGCTGAAACAGAATATGAAACTGTTATAACTGGTGGCCTGTGCGCCATGTTGGTGTATAACGTAATGATACCGCCAATTACAGAACAGTGAATTATCGATTAAACCAATGACACATAAAAACCGTACGAGCAGTCTAGAGCCTTTATCGGTCCTGCTTCTCGCTTAACCCTGCTTGTTAAGTTCGGAACACCAATCTCAGCCTCTGAGATATGAATCACTTATTTCAAACATACTGGGTTTATATACAAACCAAACAAACCACATCGTTCCATAAAATAGAAAATAACATTTGTAAAATATACCCATAGTATAAGTCCATAAATGGATCCCAAAAAGTTACCATTCATTATGCTTATCAGGGAATAACAGAAACTAATTCCTATGATCATTTCTTTGCATATTCAATTAAAGATAAGAAAATTCTTATCGCTAATAGCTTGTGAACGAGTGAAAAACAGTTAGATCCCGATAAGCATAATGAATGGTAACGTTTTGGGATACAGGCACATATATGCATCGGTTCAAGTTGCCATATCGCATTAGCACAGCAAGATGGACACCGGATTCATAAAAGTAGTTAATTCAATGGGGGTAATATATAGAAGAAAGATTGCATGTAAGGATATAGTACAGGAAGAAAGAATTACTACGTAGAAAGAAAGATATGAAGTGATTTTATTCTCTTAGTTTAAGGGAAGACAGGGAGTGTATACACCGACGCCATTATGATCGATTCTGAACCATGTCACCCAGAATCTCCAACCACTGGTTACGATAGTCACGCGGACCCCAACCAAGTAGTCTGCATCTACCAACATGGCTCAGACTACAAGTTAGTGACTTCAACCACTGATGCCACGTTTTGGTATGGCCGCCCCTAACTTTCTTCCAACCATCCCCTACACCGGTTAGCATTGCACGTCGTGGTAATCGGTGTTCAGGCATACGTAACACGTGGCTCAACCATCTCAGTCGATGAAGATTAACAACCTCACCGACGGATTTACCATCATTACCTAATACCCTGCATCTAACCTCACTATTAATTACCCGGTGGCCTCAGCAGACGCCAGCAATATTTCTAAGGCATCCGTGGTCAAATACTAGTAGCTTACGGGTGTCTTCTACACTTAAACGCCATGTTTCGCTGCCGTAAAGTAAAACAGAACGGACTGCCGCGCAGTATACTCGTTCTTTTATTGATAGACGGATATCTCGCCTTCGCCATAGGTGACGTAAGTTGGCAAAAGCCAAACGAGCTTTTCGAATCCGTGCTGAGATTTCGTCAGACACCAACCCATTAGGGCTGATCAGACTTCCAAGATAAGTGAAGTTGTCAACGCGTTCGACTACTTCACTCCCTATCCTTAGTTCAGGTGTTGACGTAGACCAGTCCTGAAGCAAAATCTTGCATTTAGAGGGAGAGAATCGCACTCCAAACAATCTGGCATTGTTGCTCAGTGCTAACAAAAGACTCTGCATTCTATCAGCGTCTTCACCAAACAGGACTATGTCATCCGCGTATTCTAAGTCGATAAGTGGACCTCCTGGAAGGAGATCAATACCCGAGAATTCAGTCGACGAGAGTGTTATTTCCATCAATAGGTCTATGATGAAGTTAAACAAAAATCGAGAAAGTGGACAGCCTTGACGGACGCCACTTGAGGTTGCAAAAGTAGATGACAGTTCGCCATAAGCTCTGACTCGACTAGTAGTGTTCGAGTAAAGAGCCTTTACAAGGTTTACGTACTTCTGAGGTACGCCTTTCAATGACAGACACTGCCACAGAATCTCGCGGTCTATGGAGTCAAATGCTGCTTTTCAGTCAAGAAAGACCACCATTGTCGGACGCCGATAAGTATGCCTATGTTCTAGAACCTGACGAATGGTGAATATGTGGTCGATGCAGCCACGACCAGGTCAGAAGCCAGCTTGGTTCTCTTGTGTTTGCAGTTCACGAGTCTTAGTTAGGCGTCTGATAATTATCAAGGCTAGTATTTCAGATACTATATTAGTTAAACTAATCCCTATATGGTTGTCACAGGATGATTTTTACCCTCTCTTATATATATTGGGACGATGTGATTGTGACCAGTTAAATGGGATAACGTCTAACTCCCAGATTTTAGCTAAAATATTGGTCAAAATAATCGCCAAAATTGGACCACCATCCTTAAAGACCTCTGGAGCCAATCCATTTGGACCAGCTGCCCTTCCTCGTTTCAGATTAATTATAGCCTTTTGGACTTCAGATAGACTCGGGGGACCTACTTCAATGTTTCATTCACATTGTCTGGGAATGGAGGGTAGTTGTAGAGTAGCTGAAGGCCTTCGCCTTCGGACATTGGGTTTGTTGCTTTTAGTCTTACCGCTCTTCAACCGACCTATCTGACATGGTAAAACCTTGAGGAACGGTTGTTCCAGCCAATATAGCTCGGTTGCTTCATCACGATAGGCAAGCCCGACCACCACGTCAAGGTAGCAACAACGGTCGGGACCATTTGGCCAAATCTTGTGCAAATGTTGTTTCCTATTTTATTGGTACGATTTGGTCTGTCTGAATTGTATATAAACCCAGTATGTTTGAAATAAATGATTCATATCTCAGAGGCTGAGATTGGTGTTCTGTACTTAACTGGCTGGGCTAGGCGGAAAGCAGGATCAATAAGGACTCTAGACTGTTCATACGGGTTTACGCGTCATTGATCCGATCGATAAGTCACTGCTCTCTAATTGGCGGTATCGTTACGTTATACATTAGCAGGGCACACAAGCCACAAGTTATAACAAAAACACAAAATGAGAAACCTATTCATAAGATCCTTATTATCATATATCATATAGTACACTTTATATTTACCATTAACAATTTAAATGCTATTGCTAACTTGATAATTTCCAAGTATGCTAGAAAAATATATTTCATCATCTTTTTCAATAAGCCCTAATTTACTATGGTTAATTCAAATGTAGGCAAATATTTAGACAGAAAGTATTATTTATATTTTAGAAAATCGAACTACCGACACCTCGATTAAAATCAATAAGATTAGAGAATTATTAGTAGAGTTCCAATGTATGTTTAAATAATTAAAACATATTTTTCTATTATATAATAAGTCTGTCGAGATTCGTTCAATTTAAAAGTCGTTTGAAAAATAGCTCGAAATCATTAGAAGTTAGGAATCGATAGATAGTTCGTCCTAGTGAGAGGCTCATCAACAGTGCTTACCCATGACCTTGTTTGATAGTACTAGATGATGGAGCGGCGAATCAATGATTAAGGTGTTCGACTTTCAAATATAGGGTTTGAACCCAGATCCATATAGTATAATCGAGTGACTAAAGTTGGTAAATATGTAGAAATCAATTACGACTCATTGGTCTAAATGGTAATGCGGATATACGGATAACTGAATCTCTTGAATTCGAGCTCTTATGAGTGGAAGGATCTATTATTGATAAGTTTCAAACTGGGATAAAAACAGTTACTTAGCGACCTCCGGTTCTTATCCTACTGAAAATTTGTAGCAAAAGCCAACTTAAGATTAAAGAATACGATTAAATATACGCGCATATCAAGGCTTTGTTTGCCAAAAAGTTTACCAAAACAAACACTAGGATTCTGGTAAAAGACTACTCGTATAATGATTTTATAAACTGTGGTTTTTTCACCATAGAATGAATCTGTAGTGTTTCAAGAAATATTACAAATATAACAATTTGTTTAACAGTCTAATGTAATGTTGATAGATATTTCATGATAAATAACTTTCGGATGATTTGATAGTAAGATGTCGATAATATTAGGATACTTTACATATCAGTGATCCATGACTGTGACATATAGAAAACGAATGTTTACCCTGGAGTTTCACTACAATACCTTTCATCAATACTATGAGAGGAATTTTTAATGGATAACTAAAACCAGAACTATGGTTTACAGGATTGAATAGACTATTGATAACAAATCGTCTTTAATATTATAATAATCATTCTCACGAGTGTGAACTGAAACCAAACAAATTAGAGTAGTGTTTTTTGGTCAACCACAACCTGAGAATTTAAAATGAAATATCGAATTCTTTTTTGCAAAACCACGTCAACTCAAAACATACGAAACATTAATATCAGGGTTTTCCAACTCCCCTAGGTACTCTTCATGTTTATAAACCCGGTTAAAGCGCCGGGCATTCGCTTTTCGTTTTCTCAATTTCGTAAACAACAACCCCGCGAGGAGTAGGCAATGAGTAGAACTTCTCTGGCAGCAGATACATAAGTGTCCGTGTGAGAGGATTTCGAGAGAGAGGGAGAGAGAGCTAACTCTCCACACCCAAACCAAGTGACTTGTGTGGCGCATATGTATTCAGTACCCCTTTGTACCAATATTTATGTGTCCAAATAAAAAAATAAACCCTTGGCCGTCCAGGGCATTTAGGGAAAGAAACCTGAAGTGTTCCTTCTCCTTCTAGTAGCATATAATTGCTAGAAAATAGAGGAATGAGTGAACTTTTGTTTACCATTTTAAAACACTTATCCGCTTGTGTGGCACCACAAGATGGTATTCTTGCGATAAAATCTATGGATTGATTATAGTGGATGGTAGAAGCATTGTATTTTCTAATGAAATAAACCGTTTGTACTGGCTGGGCCTTTTTGTTTTTTTTCATCTTAATGAAATATTATTGTGACAGCTCGAATCATTGCGCAATCACGTTAGGTTGGTTAAGACTAAATCAATGCAATGATGTAAACAAAAATCCATAGAAAGACCAGGACATATGAGAAATGGATCGGAACGGAGAAGACAAAAATGAACTTACCTCTTGTGGTACAGCTCCTTTGGGTTTGTCCAAATTTCTGTTACGGAAGGGAGCAGCAGCATCACGTGGATGCATATGAGCATGAACAGGACTATTCTGATTTTTTATTTGTTGAGAATGTAAAGACGGTTGTATACAGGATAGTTGGCTGTCTAGTCCCAAATAAGAGGACTGTACTTGAGGATTGGTTGTAGATATGACAGTTGAAGGAAGTGGTAAAGATGAAACACCAGATGTTGAGTGAAATTTACTGGACAAGGAAATTGCAGAAAGTGACGGATCCACAACAGAATTCGAACCTGCACGTCCTAAAGATGGATGTTGAGAGCAAGCGAGTAGGGATGACAATTGTTTATCCTGAGAAGCAGCTAGCATAGCCGTTGAATATAGACTGGGAGGAGTACGATTTACGTTTTCAGAACTTTCGTCTGTCGAAGTGGAAAGCATCGAATTGTTGTAAGCATTAGTAACACCTGAAGCTTTGCTAACTTCAGATGATATACTTCGGAGTGGAATAGGTGACGAAGAATTTATTGAGTTGGAAACACATGACGGTTGACATGGCGCAAGTAATTCTTCTCGACTGTTGATCACAGAAGAATCTTCCTTTACATGAGAGGCGGAAAATGCAAGACTAGGTGCTGTAGACGTTGAATTTGTTCCTGAAACAGAGGAGAAAGGTGTTAATGAATTGCTATCGTCACTGGGGCCATTTTTTATCTGTGATTGTAACTGAGGATTTGTTGTAACTGTATTGAGACGGTCATTATGTTTTTGGGTGGTTTCGTTCTTCTGGTTTCGAGCAAGATCGTCAACAACGACCTGAGAATCTATAGTACTAGAGGGTTTGGCCGGGCCTATCTCGGCAGCGATTGTCATACTGTTTGATATTGAATGACTATTTGCGTTCAACTTTCCAGATTTATTAGGAGTGCCAGCAACAACTTGGGACATAAGAGCAGGAGCAGTTTGATTAATTGAAGCAGCGGGTTTTTGTTTGCCCGATGAACCTGGTGTATTTGAAGATTTCATAGGTGTACTAGTAGAAGAAGCGGATACATGTGGTAACAAGGAGACTTTATCATCACTTTTAGCACGTTCTCGGGAAGAAGACGCATTGGATGATGCTGATGACCCAGGATGAGTGACAGACGAATCTGTATTATTTGATGCACTTGTATGAGTCGAAGTTGAAGAGCCAGCATCATCACTCCCTACTCGTTGATTTACCAGTGTAGTACCAGGGGTAATTACACCATTTAAATCATGCTCTTGATTTCCTGTTGCAGTGCCTGGTGCTGCAGTTATTCCAGTAGAATCACCTAACTCATCCAAACATAAATCATCATAAATATTCTTAAAGTCAAACATAGACTGATTATCACTACAATCGATCACATATTCAATAGACTCTTGAATAGATCTAACCTTTGTACAATCTAATCGTTCATTATCTAATAAACGCATAATGGTTTCAAGTTTTTCAACATGAAAACAACACATTTCTAAACGTTGACGTTTTTCATCGATTGCTGAAGCTGTTTCTTTGTCTATTCTTTTCTTTTTAGTATTATTTGATAAGCTTTCAATCTCAAACTCATATTTTTCTGTTTGTGTATTTAATGAACTAATACATTGTTTTAACCAATCATCTAATTCTTCTTTTTCTTTCTGTAATGGGTCTTTTTTCGCTTCAGTTGATAATAGACCTTCTTTGGAATAAGCTTTAGTTTTTGTCTCTTTTTCAATTACTTTAAATCGTTCCATATCCTGTTCGATTTCCTTACGTGCTTCTAATAATGGTCGCTTATCTTTCACTTCACTAGCTGTAATCCATGTTTTGATTTGATCTCTTAATCTTTGAAGTTTTTTAATTTCTTTTTTTAGATCGCCTTCAAATTTTTCTTTTTGAGTTGGATTGTTGGTACTTTCAAATTTATCCAGTATTTCCTAGATTTATTATGAAAACGGAAATATATGAAAATATGCTACAACTGTCAGTGGGTAAAATTACCCACTTTTTGACAATTATATGACATTCGAGTAGCCAACATTGTATATATACCGACAAGACTACAAGAAATTGGTGACAAACCAACAGATAAGCAAAGAGCGAACAGTGTGGATTGTCCACAGAAGTTAGTTGAACTTATAAGAATAATCAAACTTGACCTTCATAATTGTGTTTGAGAGACACGGCATGCACATGGCCAGTACAGTCTATTTTCCAGTTTGGCAAACGCCCCCAAAAGATAGTTTGGGTTTTAGATCCAAGAAATAAGGCTTCATTTATTAAGATTGAATTATTATGACTGGCTGTATGTTCAAAGAAGCATTAAACCAGAAAAGAATGCTTAATAATAGGAGTACAAGATGCATTAGAAAGTCATGGGAGGGTTCAACTGAGAACAAGATTGACTTATGTGCTATTATTAGAGCATGAGCGAATGAAACTTTCTAGTCCACGATAACGTAGAAAGATATTTCCAGAATGATAGTAGTTTTACGACTCTAGTTTGTCGTACTAACCATGTGAAGTGCTAATGTTAAAATCAACAAATGTGGAATAACTTGATACTTAATGAAAATATCCTATTGGGTCTAAGAAACATGAATGACCAACCAGTCAAATTACATGCATTTCAATTGAAGTACGTGACTCCAGCTAGAAACAGATCAATTACTGTGGTGCTTTCATACAGTGTTCAAAGGCTTGGATATCAGAAATGACTTAATTTTCATCTGAACACGTGAATATTCAATAACTTGTAAGCTGTATACTGTATGCAGGGTTGAGTATACTAGAAGGTGATCTTCCGAATAAACAGCGCTATATACAAATCATGTAAAATACAAATAGTTTGGGACAAGAAAGTTGCAACTGGCGTGTTAAGTGAAATATTTTTCAGATGTCTGTTGGCAGTTAAATATTTGAAAGCTCTTAGTGTATCATATCCCTTGTAACAAAATGAAACCAAACTTCTACCACAATTATTAAATGAACAGTATATGAGCTAAAAAAATTGCGGTCATACAGAAGCACTTTCTAAAAAGCATAAAATTTCGACCGGATATTTATGCTGATTTTAACACAAAAGAACTCCGTTACTAATGAATACTGTTTGCATTTGGATATATAGAATAAGAGCTATTTGACAGTCAGGCTGTTTCATGCTCAGTGAAAAATATACAGAATGGCGACTCAGTAGTTATGAGGAAAATATGTAATGGAATGTAAGTTCAAAATTTTTTTAGTTATTCATGAGTTTTTGTGGATAGGTATTGGTGTTGCGTATATTTCTTAAAACATAAACGTAAAAAAACTAGAAACTTTTCAATACACAATCACCGTCACTGTAAACTACGCCTTTCACTTAAATGAGGCCTTACTAATAGCTAGGTAATAAATGATCTAGACTAGCTAAAAACGTATTAAGGTTTAACTTTAGTGACTTTATTTTAGCAAAACGATGTCTATCAAAGTCGATGAATATATATAAACGGCAAACTGGAACCTCTGACTTTCTAACATTTGCATGAACAGATGTCAAGTTCCCATATGATAGCTATCATCACAATAAATGAAAGAACGCGTTATTGTGGTGCTTGGAATAATCATTCGAGTGATTTATAAGTAACTCTAGATCTACGTTTCGTACATAAATTTATACTTAAATGGCTCTTGAATATATATTCGTTGTTTCTATTGCAACATACACAGTACATATGTATACAAACAGTTTTTAGACGGTAGACATATCATTTTCACCAACTACAAACTGTATATAGTTAATATCTTACTAAATAACTAGTCCCACTACATAAATTTACACTATACCTGGAAGGCAGTTCTTCCCTCCTGTACTCTCTTGAGGTTTCTTTCAATGTCACTTTGCAGTTTCCTTTTGTCGGCCATCCTTCCACAGCGTACAAAGCAACCGCTTCATCGAATAAAGGCAGATAAAGGTAATCGCTCAGGGATCAATGTTATGTTATCAATCCTAAATTAAATATTTTACTTTTTGTGATTCTTTACTCACATTATTTTTGATACTTCTATCGGTTTTGAGTTCAAAGATCTATGGAAGATATTACTTGATCATCAAACGGTTCATATGGTCGTGGACGGAATAGAAGAAGCTTTCGCTTAACTGGCTTCTGTATCTAGTAGCAGTGGATCACCAATACGCTCGGATATCAACCTAGATATATTAACGATAATAGAGGAGAAAGAAGTAAATCATAGTAGGATACTATCCTTATTTCTTAAGAATATGTCACGTTTCCTATAAAAGGTCTCCTGGGAAGTCGCTTGTACTAGATCAGGCTGCAGCGATGTCCAGCCTTAACACTTAAGGAGTAGAAGTTGTGCCTACAGTCCGCTCTGCTGTGTTGTATCTCCAGTTTCTGGGTGTTATTACTTAGTTTTGTGTTGGAGCTAAACTTAAATAAGTTTAAAATGTCCAGAAGTGTTAAGGATGCTGTAAGCCGTTAAAAGGTCACCTCTGGGACTCCTGTGCCCTAACAAAAAGGTTTCGTGATTGGAGGCGCTCTTCATTAGGCTCGAATTTGAGTCGCCGGACTGATTTCGTGGCTCACCGTTGGATGCGCTCCAGTGTCATTATCTTTTTGGAGTGAGGGAGAAAATACTGCTTCCGTACTCTAACTGTAGCTGTTGAAGATTATGTCGCTCACAGTAATATATATTTTGCCATCTGCTATTGGAGATATAAGACGAACGTTTGGTGATTTCCACAACGTATGTTCTAATAACCTTCGGCATGTTTCCTTAATTTCCTCTCTAACTGAAAATGAGTTGTTTCCTGTCAAAACAGGTTAGTACTTATTGTGCTCATCCTACGAACATTGAATATCTGGCTTAGACAATTGTTTATAAATACCTGTACCATTTCGATGATGGTTGTAATAGTTCTCCAAGCTCCAGCTCCGTACAGTAGGACTGCGTTGACCTTCATACTGAAGATTTTGACTTCGATGTTGGTTGACATTTGTTTTGATTTCCAAATGTTCTTCAAGTGTAGGAATGCTGCTCTCGTTTTTCAACCCTTTCCTTGACATCTGCAATGGATCCTTCTTATCTATCAATGACATCACCCAGGTACGTGAATGTTTTTTACCTGTTCTAGAGCTTCTCCATCAAGTGTGATTTTGTGGGTTTTTTCTGAGGGCAGTGATTTTTGTACTTGTTGTGATTGTACTTGCTTTTGGTACTTATTGCACTAAAAAGCATTCTTGGTCTACTTTAACTAATAGTTCTTTGGTTAAAGTTTGAAATTTTTTGCTACATTTTTTCCTGGGTACCTGTTTTTAGTCCTTGACTAACACTTGTGTTCACATTGTTATAATTTTTTTTGTTTTTAAACCTTTTAAATCGAATTACAATGGTTGGTAAGACTCACAAATGTGGGCAACCAAATTGTTTGTTCTCCGTTGAGGAGGGAATGCAGTGTGACGACTGTAAAAAGTGGTATCGCAAAATGTGTACACGACTAAGTCCGACGGCTTACAAAAGATGCTCGAAGCCTAACTCACATTGGCTTTGTGTGTTCTGCTGTACGGATAAAAAGGTACTAATACAGGAGGCTATGGGCCTATTGGCTTTGGCCTGCAAGAAAAACGATGGCGGAAGCACTGATAACAGGAGCACTGACGATGAAGAATGTGTCAGTGTAGTAAATGCTGCTACTGGACCCATTAAAAACTTGACTGCGGTTGACGGGAACGTGAAATCTCCGTTGACATTAACGAGAAATGAAGTGTCGCTTGATATTGACATCGGCAGTCATACACCTCTAGTCGAAATAGAAGATCCGGATAAAACTGTCACAGTTCCACATAGTCCAGGTGTGGCTGTTCTGAGTGGTGACAAATGGACTTCGGTAAGAAGAAAAAAAATAAGAAGAAAAAGGCTGTAGGCAAAACGCAGCTGGTCATCAAGACATTGGAAGGGACTTTATCAGAAGAAAAATCCTCACCGCGTGGTCTCTCTGAGAGATCAGTCATTTTTCATAAGATAAGAGAATCTTCAGACACTGAACCAAAGGCAAGATTTGAACATGATCTCAATCATATTAAGACATCATTAAGTAAACTACTCCCAGATACAGTTTCAGGAGTTAGTATTTGTAAGCTTTATAGAATAGGAAAGAAGGTGGATTCCGAAAGTCCTCAGAAAAACCGCCTCCTAAAGGTTACATTCAACACGGTGGAAGAAAGGAACCTGGTTCTAAGTAATCCACGTAAACTGATTTGATCCGGAATATATGTCCGTGAGGACTTCAGCCTAGCTGATCGTATTAAGAGAAGAGCTGCAGAAGCGGAAATAAACGAGCGTCGCCGAAACGGTGAAGGAAACCTCGTTCTTAAGGGTTCTTAGATTGTAAAAGTTCGGAGCAAAACGATCCCCAAGCCACTCTGGGTGGCAAGGGAAAGCTCTCCACAGACTTAAAAGTGTGCTACACAAATGATCGCAGCCTACTATATAAAATGGCGGAGCTGAAGTCAGTGGTGGATAAAGAAAAACCGGACGTTATCGCTGTCTCGGAAACTTGGTTAACGTCAGAAGTATTAGATAGTGAAATCCAACTGACTGGTTTCATAACCAGTAGGGCTGATAGATTAAACCGAAGGGGAGGCGGGGTTATTGTGTACACGAAAAGTACCCTAACCATAAGATTAGCTGAGACAGTAGCACATGTATCAGGGACATGTGAACTGGTGAGATGTAAGTTGAAATGCCGAAGGCAAGATATTGAAGTAGTTGTAGTTTATCGTAGTCCAGAATGTGTAGCAGATGATTTTCTCCTCAGTAAACTTAAGTCCTGGTGTAACAACGGTAAAAGCCTTGTAGTAGGCGACTTTAATGCACCATATATAAACTGGGTTAACTTAGAAGTAGAGTCATCTATATCGTCGTTCGACTCCAAACTGTTAAAAACCTCGATTGGACTAGCATTATTCCAACACATTAGAGATCCCACAAGATACGACTTAAGAAACTCTTCCTCTCTTTTAGATTTAGTCTTCACACACGGTGAGGACGTTGGTCAAACGGCTTTTCCCCCACCACTTGGGAGAAGTGACCATGCAGTCATCTTATTCAAATTCATGGCTAAAATTGCTTCTCAAACAATTGCGCCGGCCCGTCCTAACATATGGAAGACAGATATGCAGGCAATTAACTCCGCAGCATCGGCTGAGAACTGGGAAATTGACTCAAAGGCATCAGTACAAGAGGCATGGACTCTATTCAGACAGTTATACAATCGGGTAACTCAACCATACATACCCTGGACTGTCCCAAAGAAAAAGAAGCACGGACATCTCTGGTTAGGGCGGGATATTCGACGCTTACTAAGACAAAAGAAGAAATGCTGGGATGTTGCCATCCGCCTTGGCACAGCAGGTACGATGGAACGCTACAGATCGATAAGAAACGAGTGTATAACTAAAATTCGGGAAGCGCAAAGAAAATATGAAATGCAGCTGGCAGAATCTGCACTCAAGCAGCCCAAGAGGATATTCTTGTACATAAACTACAGAACAAGGATTCATCACTGGATTCCCAACCTAATTAAAGTAGGAAGTGAATCTGAAATGATAGAGGAAGATCAGGAAAAAGCTGAGATTATGGCTGACTACTTTGGGGCAGTTTTCACTCAGGAACCTCCTCTAGAGAAAGAACCAGACCTAATTACAGAGTCAACAAACCAGCTGCTCACCGTGGACTTCGACCAAAACGATGTGCTTAAGGCTCTTAGCACCCTAAACATGGAGAAGTCAACAGGACCAGATGAACTACACCCTAAAATCTTGAGACATATTGCCCAATATATCGCAGCCCCACTGACTGTGATATTCAAAATGTCACTTGACCAAGGTGTGTTACCTATGGACTGGAAGGACGCAATCGTCACTCCCATACATAAAACTGGTCTACGACAAGTTCCATCAAATTACAGACCCGTAAGCCTCACCAGTGTTGTAATTAAAATACTGGAAAGGATAATCAAACGGACCATAACAGCATTTATGGAAACCAATAACTTGCTGAACATGGCACAACATGGTTTTAGAAAGGGTCTATCCTGTACAACGAACCTCCTTATAGCTAGGGAGCTCTGGATTAATGCGCTAGACAACGGAAACTCAGTGGATGTTGTCTACATTGACTTCAGTAAGGCTTTTGACAAGGTGCCAACTAATAGACTGCTATTGAAGTTGGCAAACCTTGGTATTTCCGGACCTCTTTTAAAATGGATTAAGGATTTCCTAGTAGGTCGTAGGCAAAAAGTAAGAATAAATTCCAAGTGTTCCATCTGGAGACCAGTACTTAGTGGAGTACCCCAAGGTTCCGTACTAGGTCCTTTACTTTTTATAATATGCGTTAATGATCTTACAAGTATAGTACAGTCTCCAATGTTATTATACGCTGACGATGTAAAAATTTGGCGAGTAATAACTGGAGACAAAGATGCATTCACTCTTCAGGCGGACTTAAATAATATGATAAACTGGTCTAAAGAGTGGCTAATGCCTATCAACTCGGAAAAGTGTGCCTACATGCACTTGGGGGATTCAAAGGTTAGTACATACAACATAGGGGATGTGTCATTACCCGTAGTCCGGTCTCATAAAGACCTAGGGGTGACAGTGAGCAATGATCTTAAGACGACGGCTCATTGCCGGGAGGTCGCAGTTAAGGGGTTTCGAACCCTCTGGGCTTTAAAAAGGACATTCACTAAGCTTGATACTACCATGTTCACCACATTATACACATCCTTAGTGAGAACTAAGTTAGAGAACTGTGTTCAGGCTGCAAGCCCCTGTTTAAAAGGTGACTCAGACATACTAGAAAAGGTACAGAGGGCAGCTACGCATGCAATTCAGGAACTCCGGGGTTTATTATATAAAGAGCGGCTTGAAAAA